TACCTCAATATAAGTTATATTTTTGTCTTGAGTCTGAGAGATCTCAGATTGCTCCACTTTTAAAATTCTTTGCGCTCTCTTAAACTGCTAGATGTACTACTGGGTATGGCAGATCATCGCATCAAGTAAGTCACGCAGCTGGTCATTACAGGGAACTTTCCTATGGGTCATTAATAATAATTCATGAGAAATTAGAGGGATAAGTAGTGAGGCCAAAGTGGCAACGGCACATTCTCCTCAACCGGTTGTTTATGGGCAGACAAAGCTGAAGGGCTGCCTATTGGAGGAAGGAAGCCTATTAAAAAAGCTTTCCATCAAACTTTGCATCTCTCACTTAAATAGGGTACAAAGGAGGGGATACTGCTGCAGTCCTCAGCCCTAGCGGAAGCCCAACCAGACACTATAGCCCTGCTGCCCTCCAACTGCAGCTGGCAAGGATGATGTCACAGACATGGTGGTTTTGATAAAATCAGTAAAACATTAAAAGAGGAATACGGCAGTGCAAAGCAAACACCTCCTGAACTAAAATTTGAACATGGTGGATGTGGGGTAGAGCAATATCTGGATGATTTACCTTCGATGAGGAGGATATTTGTTTCTTGTTAATTAGGTAATAGTGTAACATTGTGATCTGTTGGCTTGTTAGGACTGGAATGCGTTTTCACTAGAAAGAAAATATGCCTTGTTGTAAATTATATAATTAGTGAGAAATTGTATGTTGACTTACACAATTAATATTTTCTATCTACAAGATTAAGTGAAGACGGTATTAGTGAAAAATAAAGAGATTAAGAGCATCATGAGTTAATAGGTGGTATCAAACAATCCTAGGATAGTTAACAAAATCAGACATAAATCAGCTGGTTTGTATTAAAGAGGAAGTTAATAAAGGTTCATTTAAGCACTTCTCCACAACATCAACTTGCTGCCTGTCACTCATCTTGCTTGTTCATTGGAACTGATTTTTTTTTTTTTTTTTTTTTGCTTTTTTTGCTCTGCAAGCACAAATCCTTTCAATGACTTGAGTGACTCTTTAGAGGAGCAAACTCTTAAATTCTAAACAAACCAAATTCTTAAATTCTCAACAAACCTAGCAAAGAAACAGGAAACTTTACTAAGCAATTCTAGAAGGCAACACACAAAAGGGAAACGCAGGCACAAGCATTTTGAAGCAGATGTGCAAAAGAAAGCTGCATCAGAAGCCTTTCCCAAAGCAGTATTCAACAGGGAAATTGCCTTCACCACATAGCTTTCTGTATCACTGCTTCTGTTAGAGATTGATCTGGCAATGCACAAACATAGTAGTTTTAATATTTTTTGGTACTGCCCAGGGTTTGATTTCACTACATTGCTTTATAATATATTCAAATTTCATAGCAAAAAGTTCACTGCAAATAGTTGCAAGGGAATGCTAAGAAATGCCATCTTAGCAAACACATAAACTGTGGTAACTGGATCCACATAAAATGAAAGCTGTCAGGAGCAGGAGCAGTTTAAGCACAATCAGTATGAGACACGGCTTGCAAACTTCATTAAGAAATGACTTAGTGCTGCTTAAAAACTTAAATATTTCTGACTAGATGGTAGTAGCAGATATCAAAATAAGAGCTTTGAAGACCAAAACAGAGCAGAGCCCACATGAACATCAATTAAACATAGGCCAGTCAGTCCTAAACAACAGGAAAGAGCCATTGCTGCAGGCAGGCTTGAGGATGATCAAACTGGGAAAGAAACAGTGACAGGCAAATCCCTAAGCCCAAACAACTGTTCCTTAGTGCCCTGTCCGTTCAGTAGTGGTCAACGATTCTTTACAAAGTGGCTGTCGCTCAGCTCACTAAAACCACTTGTCCTTCAGTAAGTAGAAGAATAAAACTCATCTCCTTTGTCTGACTGTATTTTCTCATGGTAATTGAAAATGGCACACAACTGCAGAAAAATATTTGTGCAGTCACAGCTCATGAGATAACCACCATGAACTCCATCAAGGCATGGATATGAATTTAAGCCCATTGCTGGGCTGATAATTGCAATTCAACAAAAACTTTAAATCCAGAAGTTTGATGGATTCATAGAAAAAAATAAATTTCACCTGCATTTCATGGAAAATGCATGTGCATACACTTATGCATACACTAAACCAGCCTTAATCAGTCAAATACCTGGTTCAAAATTACTTTAAGAAACATCTATTTGCCACTAGATGGCGTGGGTGAATTCCCAATTTTTGTTGGAATCAGTTTAAAAATATATATACGTATAGGTATTCCCTCCCTTTGCTAACACAATACTTTACCTTCATGTTTGTTTTCCATTTTTAAATCAGCCAGCTAAAGAAAAGCAGCAAAGAAAAAAAAAAAAAAACCAACTTTTACTAAAAATACACCATCTGCCAGTGAAAATCTTTGATTCTATCACATCTACTACCAAACCCGGTTAACAAGCAGCACCAAAGCCAGTTTCCACAGAAATAGGCACCTCTCCCCACAGTGACTCTTTCAGCTGCCTCCCAGGCTGCTGGCACCACCTCACCTCGTGTCCTAGGTCAGGACTATGTCTGACACTCAGCCTGCACCTTATGCATCTGGAATGCATTTCAGAAGATGTCATCCCCTGCCTATGGCTGCTTCCAGGATCAACAAGGGATGCAGGAGTGGTGTCATGACAGTGTCAGAGAACAGTAATAAATGGATATTAATACATTCTCTTACAGCTGGCCTTCCCCCCGCCCTAACCTCAGATGATCAAATTTGCTGAAGGGTACTTCTGACTTGCCCAAGTTCTCTGATAAGGCTCAGCAAAAAATATTGTGATGGCCTTGATACCACAGGACTGAAGCCAGAGGAATAAAAATGGAGCTTGATCTTTCTGCAGCATTCACCAGTGAGAACTGGCATAAATAACTGAAATAAAAAGAGAAAAAAATATTGTGGGGATCACACGTAAATTCTTCCTTCACAGTTGTGTTTCTGGGTCTTCTAGATTTCAAGTACTATTTTCTAATTTGATCTCAAAAGTCACTTTGGAGTAACAGCTGAGCTGGATTCTTATTATCAGCAATGAAACTTGTTTCAGATCAAACTGCAAACCTGGCTGAAAACCTACTGTTATTATTTCAAAACCAGTATCTGCTGCCTTCCAAGAAGCTCCATATGCATCAAACCTGCTGAAGAGTGATGCAGAAAACAGAATTCACTTTTTTTTCTGACTAAGCAAGGATTCTACCTCAATTTTCTGATCATCTAAAGAAGTTAAATTATTAGAAATTTTAATCTCTAAGAGCATGCTGTATTCTGTATCACAAAGTTCCTCATGGGCTAACTCAGGTCACGGCAGCAGGGCTTGGCACAGGTTACACTGGGCCACACAGAGCTCTCAACTGCACGATGAAGGATTGACATCAAAAACAGTTTATATTATTGAAGTATATAAAAGGAATATTTAAAAGAACATCCTAAGAAACAGGGTAACAAAGGAGAGCGCAGGACTGGGATACAGACTCTTATGTCATTTACCATTCACTTTTTTCATTTCGCTGAAATGGCTTTTTCTAATGATGAAAGAAAAAAATCCTTCCACACCAGACAAGAATGTAAATTGGACTTATGACAAATTATAGTTCTAAACCATTTTAATCAAATGTGCACAATGGCAACTTTTTAATTTAAAATTTCCCCATTTAAAACAAGTTCTAGAAATCTGATTACACAAATACACACACACACAGAGCAGTCTTTATTTTTAGGGGAAAAAAAGAGGGAGAGAAATTGTCAGAAGAGCTTCATTTGTTTTTATATATAAAAGAAGGCACATTCATACAATTTCTATTCATTATCTTGATTTACAAGTGCCATGTCACAAACAGTGAACAACTGATAAGAAATTAAGTAAAATTTCACTTGAAGTTTATATTAACTATGGCAGGGATGTCATCCCATACTCTTAACTGCTGACTGACTAGTAGGAGGCTCTTGGTCAAACTTCAGCATCCAATACCTAAAGATTTTGTTTACTTTAAAGCAAAACAGATCCCACTAGACATTTATTAGGAATTCAGCAGAGTATTATTTACTTGAGAAAACTGTTTCACACTAAAAAGAAATAAAATAAAAAATAAATAAATAAAAAAGTGCAAGACCTTGCCATTCCAGGACACCAGGAACTGTGCATAGTGTTTACTTGTGGCTCTAAGTGGCCATCAGGCATTTACTTCGCAGAATCACAGAAAGGTTGAGGTTGGAAGGGACCTCTAGAGATCACCTAGCCCAAACCTTCTGTTCAAGCATGGACAGATACCTAGAAAATATGGCACAGGGTGGCATCCAGGTAGGTTTTGAAGACCTCCGAATCACCATCACCCTACTCCCACTCAGTAGATATTCCAGGGAACACATGTCAAAGTCACTTTCATTTGGACTTTGTGTGCCTTCTATATATCAAAATACTGCTTAAAACAAATGTTACAAATACATAAAACAATTTAAACATAATGAAAACAAGAAAAAAACAAACAGCAGTGCTTCGGAGTGGGCCTACATGCTTTGTTTCCTTTCTGAGGTAAACTGATGGAATTCCATAAACGGATGTAAGGAGAGAGTTGAATCAAGAGAAGAAAAAAAAAAAAAAAAGAAAAGCAGTGGGAGTAGAACAAGAGTGAATGAACAGGGAGGTGAAGGCACCAGAGTGTGGCCCTATTCTCAGGGAAAAAAACATGTTTAGATAGACCCTGAGAACACACATCTGGATGTTATTGACAGAAATGACCTTCCAGAAATGAATCCCCCTTACATAACTCATAGTAATCCTACCACTTCCAATAATATTTCAAAAAAAGAAAAATTTGAAAAACTTTCGGAAAAATGTAAAGCAAATTAAGGGTATTCCCCTGTAATCTTTAATATTTTAATAATCTATAAGATTGTAATTTAATCACTTGTAACCTGCCTTTCTAACCTACATTAACCATCAGGTCTACTCCCCATCTCTACACTTAGTGGTACTCCTCCTCTTTACCCTCAGTCCTACTCCCCCTGTTTAACCTCAGGGGTACTCAAGGGTTTACCCTTAGGGGTACTCCCCCTGTTTAGCCTCAGTCTTTACACAAGATAGGCTCATCCAGTATAGCTCTGGTTCAGCAAACTCAGACAATAGGAAATTTTTAAAGTACTTCACATCTTATATAAAGAAAAGAACAACTCAATAAACACAATAAAAACTAAACAAAGAAGACAGAAAGGCTCGAGATTTTTGAGTTTACAGTAGAAACTATAAACTCCCGCCTTCCTTCTTACAATATTCTTTTGCAGGACTGAAATAGACAGTAAGTAAAAGTCTTCACAACACTCAAGCAACTTTGGTGCCTTTGTGACATTTACAGAAGAAATTTCAAGCACTTCTGAAAAACAAAATTAATCTATCCTATGTAAAACACAATGACTTTGAAAATTTTACCCAGGTCTAACAACTACATAACATCAACCTAGCAGAAGTGCAATTCCTTTCACCAATTCCAAATTTGATCCCAGCTTACAGTGCATATGAATTCAAAATTACATAGCAAGTCCGTATCAGAATAATGTAGTAATCTAATCCTATCTTCAAAGGAAGAAGAAAGGTCTGCCTAGATTTATCATTAGTAGCAATAAGTAGATAATTGCTATGTTGAAGAATCACAACTGTCACAGTAATATTCATTACCATGTAAAAAGCCTGCTCTAGAAAGGTTTATTCTGCATACTGTATCTCTGCTCTTAGCTCTTTTGTGAGGTAATTTACCAGCACTCCCAACAATTTTTGCTGGATAGCAGCATTTCCCATTACAAGGGCAGTCAGCTGAGCAACATCAGTCCAGTCTAAGCTCCTGAGAATAACAAGGGCTTCATCATAGAGCTTCTGCTGCTCATCAGGAGGCAACTCCAGTAAAATCTGGGGGACCGGCCTGAACTGTCCAGTAGTCATCCAGGCACCAAGCAATCCACCAAATGCTCCCCCTAGAAAACAGAGAGAGATGTTATTCTCAGATCACTTATGGTACTACTTGAAATTCTATCAAGTGCCTGCATTGGTAATGTTCCCACCTTTACTAGAAATCAATGCAGAGTTGTGGGGACAAGACACTCGGCAAAAATAGTCACAGCCCCAAGGGTATTTACAATTTAAGAAGTTAAATGGAGATCTTCTGATTTAGTTGCAGTGTAGCTCCAATATGGCTTTTTTATTTTTCTCCTATATTATTATTATTACAGTAACATGTAAAATTGCTCCAGCATCTCCATTATCAATGACTGAAGAACACTGAACTTGTGTTCTTCACTGAGATAAAGACAACTTAAACACTGGAACAAATGAGAAAACAGATCCAACAGTAACTTCGGTGGTTCTAAACACCTCACTCAGGAAGGTGATCAATTACATTCTAATTGCACTTCAGAGCTTATACGCTTATAAGAAGTTCACGCTTTGAGCTCTTACTGACTTCAGGCACGCATCTGCCCAAATTATTATCTTCTGCTATTAATTGTTGTATATATAATAAGAGCAACCATATCCAACTTTATTTTGTACTTTCTGTTATGGTTCTCCACAGGCTATTACGTATTTTTTTATAATTCAATCTCACTAATACTCGAGCAGGTATTCTGAACAAAAAGACCACGCTCATCCAGAAGTGGTCCAGAAAGCAGTAGGTAGCTTTAAAATGGACAAACATTATTTTTAATGACATCATTACGAAGATCATCCTGTTTCCCTGCTAAGGTCTGACTGAGAATATTTACTTTCCTTTGTAGTCCAATTTCCTTTTCTCTGCACTACTGGGAATCAACATTTTTGCACCTGAGCTCAACTGCTCCTCATTCTCCATTATCATTCACATTCCTTCACCACTAGTAGCTCTTCCCCTCTCCTATTCACACCCCTGCTACAGTTCTGGTGCAGAGCCTACATCAAGCTTAGAGCCTTTAGATTTGCTGTGTTCTGTGCCACATCCATCTCAGTGGATGGGAAACAGCACCCTACCCGGCAAAAACAAACAAGTTTTTGAACAGATTTTCCAAAGTGCTAAGAGGAACCAAAATCTAAACCTCAAATATCTATACTGTTTCCTATTTTCAGAAAGAAACATGGTCACAGGCCTTACTGATGCACACCTTGTTAAAAACCCCATACAAAAAGCTAAAAGACAAAGTGGCGTCTTGCTATTGCTCAGCAACACAAAACCTCACTGCTGCCTGTGCTGCCATTCAATTCACACACACTACACATTGACCTGCTAGTTTCCTCACGAAGTCTGTTGGCCACTTTTGTATTCCCAGCAAACACTTACCTACTGCGATGCCAGGGGGACCCCCCACGAGGCCTCCAATAAAGGCTGTGGCACCTGCGAGCAGAGCTCCTCGACCAGAGTGTTTAACAGCAGCTTGCATTCCCTTCTCCCGAGAGAGGTGGCAGAACAGTTGCATCACTTCATCAGCCCTGATGGGCATCTTGGCTTGTTAAGGTCCTGAAAAAGATGTTTAAAATCATATTTTGATCACTACAATAGGGACTAAATCTTGCTGCTCAACATTTTTTTTTTCCCCTCCCCTCTCTAAACACAGTTCAGGAGACCATAAGCTTTAAGAGACACAGTTAATGCATGGAAAGAAATCACTTCATCATTCCTTTAAATACAAGTCAAAAGATAAACCTATTTGCCAACAGTGAAACAGCAAGTGAAACCAAGAGACAGGCCAGTGAAATCTGTATTTATGACAAATTCAGAAGTCTGTTGAACATGAGCAAGTAACAGCAATGAAAAATTTAAGAAAGAGTCTGTCTAATTTTCAGTCTATTATCTTTGCCTCAAGCAATTGCCATGTTCATTCAGCATTGCATATGGCTCCAAAGAAAAGACAGAGCAAGGCCACATTTTAAAACTGAAAATGTTACTGAATTACAGAGGGACTAGAATCTTACTCCAGATTAACAGGGACTGTTATTTTATGTGTGTCAGAGGCAGAATCAAAAGACAGCCAAAACTATTTTTAAACTTTGATTTTGTAATCGACACACCAAAAAAATAAAGGGGGGGGGGGGGGTTGCAATTTGTTTTTGGCAATGAAAGTGCTGATTGCAGATAGGTCTGTACAAATTCTACCCAGACATGGAAAAACACAAGTAATGTAAAATACTGGATTTGCCCCAATAGCTGAATGCAAAGACAGCAACATACATAAAGCTGGGCCTGGCTTTCAGCGTTGTTGAGTCCCCACACTTCCTTTTACCTTCAGGTGACACTGAGAATGCTCAGCACTTCATACAGAAAATACCAAGTGCTATGGAAAATAAACTTGAGAAACCAAGCTTTATTGGCCCCAGATGCTTCTCTGGTGTAAGCCTAATTTCAGTGTTCTCCTACTTAACATTCCCACCCTATTCCTAGAGACAGGCATTCCCCACTTCAGGGAATGATGATTTTAATACAGAAAAGCCACTTTATCCCCTGGATTCATGATTCCACTTAAAATAAAAGAACACTGAAACTACAGGTACTCTAAACCAACACACTGTCTAGCACTGGAGAGCCATCCCTCACTGTTCCTTACAATCTCTTACAAAACTGAGCTAACTGCATATATATCCTTCAACAGGTATCTCTACAGAATCGATGCATAGAACAAAAATCAAACATAGCTCATGAGAGCCAACTCCAAATCTAACAAGCAACAAGGAGGTCTAAGGACTCCATCAGGAGCTGGCTTCCCCCTGGTGGACAGTGATAAACAAGAACCTGGGCTGAGAACCTCTGCTCAACTGCTAGGAAGCACGTACAAGATCCATGCAGGTCTTCAAACTGAAGCTCCATATATCAGAAATTACATACACAAGCAAGGATATCCAGGAGATAACCCAGGATAATTTCTTCCTGTCAATATCCATACACAGGTTCCCTGTGTACAGCTCTATCTGTTCAGCAGCCTTTGTGACATGTCTTGGAGCAAGTATGAGATCAGCAGCCAGAACAGACATGAAGTACAATTGAGAGTGGAGAACACATCTTCACAACCCAGCACGCACACAGATGCAACTCCATGATTAACCTGGCCAGCAGTGCAATCTGTGAACAACTGAGGAGCAGAAAAGGAATCAAGGTACACCTACAAACAAGGACATTCACATCAGCAGTCCATAGTACACTGTTGGCTTGAGTAATATTTGTGCTACCAAATCATAACTTGCTGAAGTTACTTTAGAACCTACCTTTAGACCCCTGCAACACAAGTGGTATGATTTAAATCACAGTCTCAACAGCCAACAAAACTTATTTGCTTCAGCTATATAAGTTTTAACTTTAAAAGTTTTTATTAAGATTGTTAATCTTTTCAGTTATTTTCCTAAAGCAAGGCAAGGTTTATTCTTACTGGTTGACATAAGGATTAAAACATGCTGATTACAGCACATTATCCTTGTACTTGGTTATCTTCTCTCCCACCATAAAGACTCACTACATCTACAAATAGTTGCTACAATAATGTTGCTGACTATACATTTATTCAGATACTCATTTTTCCGGTTTCAGTTGCCTTAGAAAATGGTAAGAAAACTAATTCATTTGCTAGACAATCTGAATGCAATTCAAATGCACAAAGCACTATAAAGATTTTGTAAAAACTGTGACCTTAGAGGTGTTGCTTACTCTCTTCTTCTGCACCTTTATCAAAGCACATACATTTGTCAAAGCATTTAAGCCAATCCTGTAATAAAAGAGGCAGTAAAACAGGCAATGCACTTACTTATTATGCAAACAACCTATTTTTAGCTACCTAGCAACTGACCTTACAACACTCTTAGATACTATGAAGACAGGTAAATATTCACCGTAATTAATGAAAATGCCTGCATTCCACTCAGGCTAAAGGAAGTCAGGTACCTACCCTGTTCAGGCACTCCTCAATGTCCCATTTACCTGGGCTGCTAAGTCACTAATTAGCAGTGGATGATTAGCCACGAGTCCCTCAAAACATAAAGAAATTACTAAACCCCCTCAACTTATTTTTCAATGGACTGAGTAGGAATGGAGCTTTCATTTCTTAGTCAGATTCTCCATTCTGAAGACACTGAATAACAAGTTAAAAAAAAAAGTATTTTTGTATCTGCCAGTGGGGATTGACGCAAAAATGTCAACAATGAAAGCGAAAAAGAAAGTGGGGTTGAACAGTAAAGCTCCAAAGCAACCTGGCACAGGGTGGTGCCAACACTAAGGTCTGATCTGGCCTTGAAGACTAAAAGGTGCTGTCCCTGATGCAGTTACAAGTCATAAACACAAACTCATTAGATTGAGACAGTACTAAAGACATGCAAATTATTAAAACCTTGATGACTTTCAAGGACGCAATACGCAATTATGCTTCTGATTCTTTGTTTGCCTACTACACCTACTGTGGGATTGCTCCTGCTTTAATGATTATACAGCGGCCTTGTCACTTGGCTGAGCAACCAGATTTTAGAAAACTGGCTTATTTATTTACTTCACTCGTTTAGGGGAGGGGGTCTCCCGGGCCGCCGCCCCCCCGGCTGCCAGGCCCGGCGCCCTCCCCGGCTCCCTGGCGGCCGCCACCGCCGCGTCCCGGGCGCCCCCCGCCCGGCGGCGCCGCCTCCCCCGGCCCCGCTACTCACGTGCCGGCGCCGCCGCCGCAACGGGAATTTTCTGGAATTTTCTTCGCCTGCAGCCACCACAGCGCAAATCCGGACTGCCGGGGGAGGGGGACGGGGCGCAAGGAGGTATTGCGTACGGTGCGGCCCCTTCCCGGCGCCGCGGCCGCTCCCAGCCTCCCTCCTGCGCGCAGACCCTCCCTCAGGCAGCGGCACGAGCCGGGCCCGGCCCTCGGCGGCTGCGCGGGAGGAGCGCGGAACCGCGCGGCGCGCAGGGGAGGCCCGAGCACCTTCGGCCCCGTCCCGCGTACTTTCCCGCCGGCCCGACCCGGCCCGGCCCGGCCCAGCTCCCCACCCCCGGCGAGACGAACCCGGCCCCGCGGTGCCCGGTGCGGCTGCGCGGGCGGAGCGCCCCGCGGGGCCTGTTGGCTCCTTTATCCCCTTCAGTCACTGCTCTCCGTGCGTGCCCGCACCGCGCCCGCCGCTCCCCCAGGCGAAGCTGATACCTAACGGCGGGTTTGGCTTCCCGGCCGGCCAAGCTTTCATCTCTCGGATTCAAATAAGCCGTCTCCCGCCAGCCCCTCACTGAGGAGATAGGGAAGTGGGATGAGGATGAAAGGAAGGAAAATAACTCATAGTTTTTGTCTCTTTCCCGTGGCATCACTAGGGACTTTTTAACCTCCCCATCCTTTATATGGTGACATAAAATAATCCTCTGTGTAACAACTCAATGTGATGCAGGTCTGCCAGTGCTTTTCATTTTTATGGCTTGGATATAAAAAGCAAAAGTAATGCACAGAATGAGCAAAGAACCAAAGTGCTGGGTGTTAAAAGCATCACGCCATGATCCCAGCTGCAGGTGGCTTCCAGGGAGACCCACTTCCAGCAAAGCCTCTGCCAGACAGAGCAGGACAGTTTTACCTGCCTCCCCAGCCCTTTACTCCAAATAAAGCACATGTAGCACATTCGGGCACATCAGCAGATACTTATTAGTTTTTTTTTTTTTTTTTTTTTTGGTCTATAATCAAGTTACTATCGTTACTATCGTTAAGTTTCTAAATTTCTATTCTAATTACTATTACGTTTCTATTATTAAATTACTAAAACAAATATGTGATAGGGACTGTATTCCTTGTGGTTACTACTGTAAATGATATCGCCTTCTCAGTGAAATTTGGACGCTGCTGAAGTTGATGGCCATCAGTCAACCTGGTCACTTTAGTTAGCGGGACTAAGATTTTATTCTGCATGTAGTTATCAGGCAGCACCTCATGGCACATTTATTTTTCCTGGGTGAATACTGATTGGTTTGCACCACTGCTGCACACCACAAATCCCACACGACCTTCTGTAAATGCTGGGTAAAAATGCCTGCAAAAGGCCTATTCTCCAGTCTTATGGAAAGAGCAAGAGGCACGTCTTGCAGAAGGCATCTTCCAAAGAGCTTTTGTTGCTCAGAGAGCTCCATCTCGTGGCTCTCTGGGCACCTAGATGTAGCGGGGTCTAGGACCATGCTTGCCACTGGGGAGAGAACAATCTTAAAATAAATGAACAGACAAATCTCTGCCAGCTGTGTTATCTTTTACAGGATTATGCATTCTGGGTGGATCTGTCATTGTAATTCTGACATGTATTTATCCACATTTTGGCATCCAGTATTAACAAATAATTAGTGCTGTACCTGAGAGAAATGATAATGCAATCTTTAGGAGTCCTGTTGTATTGAGGGAAGATCAGGTGTCAAGGTGATCCAGCCGCAAATCAGATCCTGCTGATAATCTCACCATATTCATTGTAGCATGTTAGGTTCTTATAAATAGATGTCACTGCTATTTGTATACAGTGGTTCTCTCTGTCCTCTTTTATCAGGATGTTCATTAGTTCATTATTCTTTTTCTCCCGTTCAGATTACTAGAAACTCTACCTTTAAAATCAATCAGAAAAAAAAAACACTCCCCAGTAGTTCCCCCCACACCCTTAGGCACATACACAAGCGGATGGTCAAAAGGCATGCATCAGAAATCAGCTGTACCTAGCTGTACCTCTTGCACCTGGGCTTTCCACTCTGGTTAGCCACCTTACGGCTTTCCACATCCTTTCCTAGCGTATGTCAGAACCCAAAATAACTACACAGTAAGTCCAGTATGTCCTAAAAGTGCTGAGTTCACTGCACATGATTTCACAGCTTCTGACATACTAGGAGACAGGCCAAAGGGTGGCAGGAAAGATTTCAGCTGGAGATTGGCTGTTGCTACCAGCTGAATGATTCATCCTGGCTTGCAGCCGGCTCCTTATGGGGTCTGCAAAACTGGCAATCATGAGCAGGCTAAAGGCTGGAAGAACTGCCCTGAAATACCTTCTGTAATTATGTGAAATATCTGCTACCTCTACAGAAACCGCGACCTTGATCTTGATGGACAGAAAAAGCTGAAGACATTGCTCACCTATATCTTCCTCTACACCTAAGATTCCCTGAGAAAACATAAGGGTTAAGCAAGCAAATGTGACAGATTTTTAGTTTTGTCCAGTTGCACTTTCTTTTTCTTAAAATATGTTCATTTCTCACTATTACAATGGCAGAAAAAAAAAGTACTTCAAAGCTTGAAGGATGTGTAAGTAATAATAGGCCCATGTGCCTAAGTTTTCAAAGCACCTAAAATACCCTGAGATTTTTCTATTTTGTCAACGTTAACTTGGGTACTGGGGAAGATGGTTTAATTACAATGTTATTCATCAAAGCACATAGGAAATGTCATGTATTCTCCCTAATGTGTGATGGAGTGATCCACAGAGAAGAAAAGGGATAGATGTAATAATTATGAATTACAGATTTCTAAGGATGGATATCCAAGTTTAAGAGAGGAAGAGATTTACATCTTTTCCCGTAAAAGGTTGGGAAACACTATGCTATAATGTCTAGGATTTCAGACAAACCCTCTCACTGGATAAAATCCTTGCAAACATGCTTTTAAAAGCTCACATGAATAGCAGCATCTGTTCAGAAAGGATCTGCCACTTCTGCTTCATATTATACTTATAATCGAACCTTCCTTTCTTGAAAAACAATACTGTTGCATAACTTCTGAGCTCCTCATATTATACTCTGGATTATCAAGAAAATGGTGTACTTAACAGATCACAAAAGGCAAAATGTAAACTGAAAATGAATGTAAGATAAGAGTAATGATATGACACATAAGTCCTTAAATAGAAACATTTAGTATGGGAAATTATGCAAGTAGAGAACAGCTCTGAAAAGAACTGTGCTCTCCTCAGGACGCTGCAATGGAAAAAAAAGATCAAATTTCTAAAACTAGGAATCTAATTCCAATTTTCACCCATTAATACTTTTTCACCCCAGTGCATGGAAGTGTAAATAACAAAGTAAAAACAACCCAATCACTACAGGAAGTAGTGTCACTAGGAAGACAATAGCAAGTTACTGAGATTCACTACAAAGAAAGCATATGCTTTATGGCAAATCTTTTCCTCATTTGCTGCATCAGGGTCTGACTTCTAATTGAATGCAAATAAACGATTTAACAGGTTTTTGCATACGAAGTGAAGTTATAGAACATCTGTCCCTTCTATGTACCTTATGTGACATTAAGCAAAGAAGAGGTTTGCCTTAACAGCTTGTAGGAAACTGGGTGAATCTGAAGAGCACAACAGAACTAAATCACTCTACTACTGCTGTAAAAGGTGCTGCTCTGATCTCCTGTGCACTCTCAGGTGATGAAATGCCAAGCTGGGCAAAATCAGTTTCAATGCCAAAGAGATGGAGTACTGGTACAGAAGGTCACAAAACACTATTAATTGCCTTATATCATCTCAGCGATGAAAGATGATCCAAAAATATGGGCTAGAGTGTTGGAATAAAGCATACAGTGCTAGCTAGCACTACCCAAGCAAGCTTTTAGAGGTATTTAAGGCATATCCTTAACTGCACTGTTTACCTATCTTATGCTCTTACGGACTCTAATAATAGTCATTTATGCTGTTCTTTACTTCCTCAGCACCCTACTTCAAGAACTGTGTTTACTAGCTCAGAGTAGCCATGTTGTGACCTTTTCAGAAAGAGAGAGAGCAAATCTGAATATAAAAGTCAGTGTCCGGAAATTAGTTCATAAATTACTGCATGCCTGACAACTGAAGTGGAGATAAAATTCTGGTAAGAAGTATAAAATATCCACATGAATTATCCACAGAGACATTCCAGAGAGGAAAGAAAAAAAGTTTCCTACAGACACTTTCTCCCAGTGGTCACTCTTTTGTATCATGTATCTAAAAATAGTATATCCAAGGTTTCTCCAAACTTCTGATTGAAGAGTAAACATAAAGCAGCAAAAGTTCAAAATCTTATCTAAAATTTGTATTGCATATTCAGTTAAGAAATAAAGGATTCTAATAGCAAGAATGGATATTAGAATGGACAGAAGAATGGACATTTGAAGGTATCTGCAATAACTTCAGAGAAATATTTCCATAGGTTCCATAGGTTCATAGGTTAGGTTCTGTGATGTGAGAAATCTTTAATACAACCTAATGCACTAAATATACTATAAGCATATAATTTATTATTAGTACTATATACTGTAAGTATATAATTTATGAGGGAGGTTGAGGTGACAGAACACAAACAAGGTACCTGAAATTTCATCAAAGCCAGGAGACCTGGACTGACTTTCCTTTGAGCTTCACACTGCCTTCATGGGTATTAGATAGCTTTGGCGTGTTGGTATTGACCCAGCATATAATGTAATACTAGAAAGGAAAGTACTGGCAAGCCCCTTTTCTATGATAAATTGCAAGAGACCATTTATTTTGCCATAAGTAGGCAGGCATTCAGTTCTGCAAAATCTGCGCAAAGCCCCACAGCAGGATGTGCCAGTCTCTAAACCACAGAAGAATAAGACGCTAAGACTCTGCTGCAATCAAAATAAGCAACTGTCCTCAATTTGTGTCAAACAGTAGATGTCTCCCTTCGCCAGTATTTGAAACGCGTAGGATGCTGTTGGGTGCACATCCTCAGCTAGCATTATTTCTCTTTTTTCAGCTCACGCTCCCATCATGCCTTGTAGAAAAATCCACAGGGGGAGGAAAGATAACACTGCGTCCAAACCCTGAGAACAGAGCCCCATGAAAGCAACAAATTATAAACTCCACTGAAGAGATTTTCTTCAGAAGGATCACAGGTCTCATGCTTTCGTCATGGCCTGTTCGTTTGCCAGCAGGTTCAGAGTGATCTGTGAGAGCTAAGTGATTTCTTTCAAGTAAGCTGCTCACAACGACTACAGAAACCTCGAGGATTACAGTACACAAACAATGGGAGAAAAGCGGCTTCAAATAATACACCCAGACAATGGCGTTGCCATTATGGTAGCAATGCAAAATATGGACAGGGAATTAAATGAAACGAGTGATATCTGTATACTTTGCAGGGCTCATGTGTGCCAAATTTGGCAGCATGAGTGTTCATCTTGCTTGTTGCTCCACCCCTTGAACAAAGAGGCTAAACCCCATATGTGCAGGAGCTGGTGGAGCACAGGCAGTTTTGCTAATCACACTGCATGCAAAAGGAGAAAGACAAAGGGAACTAGTAATGCTTAGACTAGCATTGGGGAAATAATTAAGCATGAATGAAATATTGTATGTGGATTTGAAATGAATGTGAGGCATTCTTGGAAACAATTGTGCTGTTTCAGTTGTGCTGCTTTCTCCCCTAAGTTTCACAAAGTAATTTGCATGTCATTTAAGTAAACACCATAAATTATTGCAAACTTTTTGTTTTTATTTACATAAAACAGAATACTTATTTCCATTGTTGGACTACCTGATGGGACTGAAAACTCAGAGGTCCTTGACAGGAAACTTGTCTCTACCCAAAATGTTTGCTTTGTCGTGCATTGGTGAGCCAGAACGAAGGGACCTCGGCTTCCGTCTTGCCTTATGTAGGCTGTTAGTCCTCTGTAGATGTAATGGACACATAGGATCAGATTTGTGAGCTGAGACGAGCTGAGGATTGGTCAAAGCTGCTTGCATAGCCAGGGCTTCATGGCCCTTGAAAATGAGCACAGCCTCAGGGCTTCTAGATTGCTGGGATGTTCATCGGCCAAACCAGCTTCTTCTGGGAAAGCTTAGTTGCTGGGTAGCTAGGAGCACATGGCTAACACCAACAGCAGCTCTACAGGCACAAGGGCGCTCAAGTCATGTCAGAGCCTGGGCAGCCTCTGCACACCGGGATGCGGGAACGCTGCCTGCTTGTGTTTCTCTGTGATGATTTCTCTGCTTCTCTTAGAATTCATATGAGGTTTAACTTCAACAACCGTAACTTACAAGGCCTACACTCTTCTTTCCTGGTACTCCTATTGTTTTCTCTTCCAGGTCACTATTCTCCGTCCCACCAACTTGATTTCACCTCTGCTGAAGTATTGGCATTCCTACTTGACCATTTATTTCAACTTCTTTCTCAGACTCCTTCTCAAACACACTTTTTCCTTTCACCTCACCAGAGGGGTCAACAGTGGCCAATTCAGAGCCCTTCACCCGCATACATTCAGATAATTAAAAAGAAATCAAATTATTCAAATGCAAGTCCTAATCCACTAAAAGGGGATCAGAATATAGCCTAAAAAGACGCACATCCTTTTACAGGAACAAATTAGGCAATGAAAAATAGGTATGAGTACCATCATCTTAATAAACAAGGGACCTAACTACCTGCAAAAGAATGAATTGCACATCTAGCATGACTTTTACTATCTTGGTGGTAAGATGGTAAAAGATCAGTCTAGTTTCTAACCTATAAAGATTGTCTGCATTGGTTTCTTCCACAGAACTTTTATTTCTTTGCTCTCTCCATGCTCTTTGCTGTCTAAAAAGATCCCTATATTTTCCTGCTTTCTAACACAACTCTAACTGCTTTTCCCCATGCTCCATTATTAAAACATGTCCAACGCTTCAAATTGTAAACCATGTGAACTCATGATGAAATAAATGCTCTCTTCACAGAAGGACATACTGTAGTTTTAATTTCTATGTCTACTCTTTGTCTTCAACCCTCCAAATTCAACCCTTTCCTCATTTTAGATTTGAAGGTATTTCTTTTCATGGGCTGAGCACTTAGTGGAGTCCTAAGATTGGTTTTACCACAAAGCAAGTAAAAATGACTGAGTCTAACTCATGATTCCCAGATATCACTAGGGTGTGCTGTAGATCATGGAATTTCAATAAAGCACAGTTGTTAATAGGGAAAAATCTAGCTGCTATACTAAATATTTTAAATTAATTGCAAACACAGACTACAATAAGGCAAATTCATTTTAAAACAACATGCACACTCAAGAGAGGCAATATAACAATTTTAAACATTTTTGTTACACAGGCTTGGCAAACATAGTGCACAATTGGTACACAATAGAAGAACTCACTAAAGTTAGGCAGACAATCACAGGCCTAAATTGCACGTGGATAAGTAAAATTGAGGAACACAGTCCAATGAGAACCGAAAAGTGGGGTTAGAACCAATGTATGTAACAAGCCAAGCCACAAGCAAAATAAGACTCATAATGCCAACTTTGCTTGATACAAATTTATGATATTTTTGAAGTCACTGTGCAATAGTGATTGAAGTCACTATTATTGAAGTCAGGTAAGGCCTGAGTAGTAATGAAGCTAAATAGGCTGAATAGTAATTATTTATATCGATTAAAGTATATGAACAACAGAGCTGCAATTCCCGGTGAGATAACAGCAGAACGGAACCCAATCTCTCACAGGAGCCTGCATCTGCCCAATACCAGACATTTAATCAACAGGATGGAGAGAGACTGGCCAGGACAGGGACCTGCAGCCTCTCAAAGAGGTTTCTGGCTTGTGGCTTCCACCCAGTCCCAACCCTCTTCCTAAGGGCTGGGAACCTTGCGGGTACATTGTGGGTACGCTGCCTTGCTGCAACATACATACAACAAGACACTCAACTCTGGGAAATCTGCAGCAGCTTCCAGCTCTTGCACATGTAACATCAAGTTTAGGAAAGAAACCTAAACCTGGCATGTAACCTTTCTGACTACCAGCTCTTGGTGTAGTGATCAGCAGTGAGATAAAGAATCCTGCAGAATAAGAATCCTGAGTCACAAGTGCTTTTAAGCACATGCTTAACTTTAAGCATACATTTATACTCAGAAACCAGCACAGACTTAAGAACAGTTTTCAAATCAAGCACCTATTTCAGAACAAGCTCAAAGTTAATCATCTACTGCACTGAGGCCAAACCTGCTAAGATGCACTAGCTATCATAGCTAGTGGTAACAGCAAACAGAATTACCACATGATGCTTCAACAGGCTGTATGAGCTGGGTTTGGTATCTTACACCATGAACCATGTATTCCTTATTATAACCATTTGTATTAATATTTGTTTACTAGAGAACTCCAATCAGGGCCTTATTGTGTTAAAGAATGTACAAGCATAGGAAAATGGGATGGCTTCTATAATGAGTGTATCACAAGGCCCACTGCCATAATTAACATTGATTAGCATTGATGCAAACAGCATGGGAAGACAAAGATTGAGCCAATCTGGGGATGAGGTTGCCTCCTCACTTTGGGTAGCTCCTCTGGTTCCCAGCCAGGCTGTTTCCAGTGGGAAGCTCCAGTGCCTTAAGCTCCACTCTGCAGCTCCCATGAGCTCATTCTGGGGACATGGGATTCGAGGAGGTGTCTTTGCCACTTACAAATCCAGTCTCTGCTATTGCAGGCAACCACATCACATAATCCTGCCCTTAAACTTCAAACCATTTTCCACTTGTTCTTCCTGCTCAGGCCATACAGAGTAGCTGTTGAAACATTGGATTGGATATCCCTACACTTAAATACAGAACGAAAACCCGCTATTTACTGTAGCAGATCAGTATCAGCGTGAAATGCAATGCCTAGATATGACCTGAAGTCAGGCTTCAGAGTATGTAAATCAACTGAAATGAGAAACCAGTACTGAATCTGTTGCTAATTTTTGAGCTGGATATTCTCCCTTGCTCCCCCAGACACTCTTCCTTGCATTTATTACTCCTCCCCAATCCTGTTGCGAAACCATCTGCTTACAGCCACCACAATCAGTTCTGATCAAAAGGGACAGTTGGCAATCTCTAGCTAGTTAATGTCTTAGAAAAAGCACCCTCACACTCCCCCCCCCAAAAAAAAGAAGAAAAAACAGATTCATTCTAACTGAAATCTGAGAAGAGTGACCTTAATGGACATGAGATGTGGAGCTGCATGCAATAACTTTCCTCCCTCTAACATACTACCCTTGCTGGATCTATAATTATCATACGCATCTTCTCATCCTAGGCCCATGATATTTTCTCAGATTTGCCTTAGATAATTTCCCTTCCAACTGTAGGAAAAAAAAAGGGGGGGGGGGGGGCGCTGACAGCTCTGTAATGCCAGCAGGAAAAGGTAACATTTTGAAATGGATAGTGTGAAATTACAGGGTTTAATATTTTGATCATGTTCATTAAATACCTTCATTAACTAAATGAGATTCCTGAAACTTTCCTGTGAACTATATTCTCCCCCTGCACATTTTTATTGTATTACCTAAAGAAATACAGCAACCTTGAATTTCACTTTCCTATCCAGTGCCATTTAAAATATATCCACAGAAAATATATTAACACTGGAAGTTTTGTTGAGCTCCACATGACATCACTGTTGTCCCAGTCTTACCTACAGTCTTGAATATCCTCAGACTTTGCATCTGTCTGGAAAATTGTCCCTTGCATTAAATTAAACATTCATGTAAATGTTTGCAGGATTATACTGTACCCATAATTTCAAACACACAGAGGACATGTCTGTGAGCACAACTGTAGTTACGTTCTAATGTTTTGCTACATTTTGCTTTTCTTGTATTTTTTCAACCTTATTTTTTTAAAGGTACTTCCTGTAGTTTCATTCACAGGGAAATGAAAGACAATTCTATAAACCCTAAAAGTAAGCTTAGATCTGCTAAGAAGTTCATCATTTTACTCGCAGACTTTGACCAGTTGTTCTTGTCTGCTTTAGATTTGACACCCCTGAGAGCTACAGGCATGACTTATAAAAATAAATAATTGCACAGTCAGAGTGATGAGCATTTTTTTTTAACTTTGCCAAAATACTGTCCAGGATACTTAGAACTGGCGGAGATTTACTTTTGGCCTTTTTTATCACTCATTTCTAATAGTGTGGTTGATTTACATTATTCACACATTTGGAAAGGTAATGTCCAAACACACTTTTCCCCTTTTACTTCTCACAGGATTGCTCATTACATTTGTTAAGCTATTTAATTCTCAAGGATCTACTGGAGATACAGTGAGGACCCCCTGAACACCAGTTAAGAATAAACCTGTAATGAGAATAAATTACACACACATATCAATTGCTACAAGTCTTGTACGGAATGAAACCTTTTTACATAAACATCTGCTGCAGAAATAACTCTGATACATTAATAAAAGTCCTCCCCACCCAAATCGAACAAGGGAAGTGTAACAGTTAGCAGATGAGTTAAAAGAATAAACCTATTAAATAAATAAATTTGCTCTACACCAATTTATGTCACTGTGGTACTTAAGGCGAAACCTTTTAAAGGACTAGATTTACTGTGCATACAGATCTCCACTGGGTATGTGTAATTATGCAAAGAAAAGGCATTACTTTTAAAGTGGATGAATGGGTGATACTTTTTGATTTACTGCTCGAAACAGAAAAATGGTAATGGCATGAAATAAGCATTTGCAAAACCGTTTTGGCAGACAGAAAATGTTTGATTTACCTAGGGCATCCATCAGGTTCTGTATTTTAGATCAAAGTAGATAAATGGAAAGGCAAATGGAAATTTGGAAAAAAAAATACTCCATTTCTGTCAACCCTGCAAGGAAGTTAAATGTTTGGAGGAAGGGAAAAGCCCCAGGCACTTTGGA